AGGCCATGAAGACCTCCAGGTCAGAAAGTCTTGGAAATGTAGGTGCGGATGGTTGTTTTCCAGCAATGCACAAAAAAAGCTCATCTCAACAACCCACAAAGTGCTGCAGCTAACAGAAAATCAAATCAAATCTGTGTAAAACAACTCCTTCCTCAAGCTCTGCTCTCCAAACACATCTTGGCACGCACTCAGCAGACAAAGCTTTTGACACATGGAGCTGTAACTGAGCCAAGCTGTGAGCAAAGGAGCAAAGACCACTCTGGGAGGGAGAGGAGGCAGTGCTAGCAGGGAACTACCAGCCCCACAGGCAAATCCCAACTTCCCAGCATCCCGTGGCATGACGCACAGGCAGGGCTTTTTTGCATCCCTCCTTTTGTTAATGATACACTCTGTGTAAATTTTCACTTGGAAATGATTAAGCTGTGAACCCATTAAGGAGCTATTTCTCACTGCCTTCAGCTGTGGCACCCCGCTCACGATAACAGCAAATTCATAAATGGCAACCTGAATTACACAGCCTTTTTCTTAATGGATTTTTGAGAAGCAAAGTGTACGAGCAGCGTGACCAAAGTACAGGTTCAAGCATTCACACAGGCCCTGCATGCCACTTATCTTCTGGGGGCACGTACAGCTGTGAGTTTATCTAAAACACCTGGTTTCAGATAGGCAAGGGCTTTTCATTTCTAAAGGCACCCTGCAGGATCAACATCAGCCCAGTTAATAATAACAAAAAAAAAAAAAAAAAAAGCAAATATGCCAGCGTTTGTCTTGAAAACCCTCCAGAAAAACAAAATCTCCATGGCCTAAATCTAAGCTGCAGCTGCAGTTCATGTGTCTGGGTAGTGTGGGGTCTTCAGCTTCATCTGCTGATTGACTAAATGTTCTTGCAGGGCATGGATGGAAACCCATACCTGTGGCAGGGCTTTTGGCATGGACCTGTGGCTGGCTGTGGCTTGATCTGTGCAGCCTGAAAACCAGAGGAGGCTGGAGTCTGTATTTGTGCCAGAGCCCAGCAGCAGGACAGGAAGGAACACGCTGACTCAAAGTGCTCCCACTCAGCTGCAGGAGGTACAGCTGGGTTTCCATGCCTTGGCCACCTCCTGGGATGGCAGCACCACTCCAGCCACCACCACCACCACCACCAGAGGTGCTCAGACCACACCAAGATGGTTAGTTAACTCCTCAACCCCTGGAGGGATCATGCATTCATAATTAAGAACCTGCAACTTTTCCTGGCTTTTCTTCCCTGAAATTCCCCAAACTGAACCTGCTCGCTCTTACAGAGCAGAGTGTGGTTATTAAACACTGGTCTGGCACACTGGCAGCCCAAGTGAATGAAATAGCACAGGAACTTTCTAATAGTGAAGGGCTTCAGAAGAAATTGGAAGAAAAGTGGAGAAAGTTATAATTAACAAAGCAACAGAAGTTAATCACCTCACCTTTCCATGGTCTTCAAAGAAAAGAGATATAAAGTAAAGTAATAGAAAATAAACCAAGAAAGCATGCTATGAGCAGCTGGGAAACAATCACCTTTGGATGTCACGGTGCAATGAGCTGGGCACCGTGTTCCACAGAATAAATCATGCTGTAAGAACAAGCAGCTTGTGACTCGCTGGATAAAACATGAGTTTTAGAAAACTCACCTGATTGAGTGACTCAGTGCAGAGCAAGCCACGCTAATTCCCTGAAATCAGAGCTTTGCTGCCCTGTCCCCTAGGCAGTGTCACTGTGATGAGCTACTCAGAACTGCTTTGAAAATAAACAAGTTTCAAGTTGTTTTGCTTTTTACATTCAAGGCAACAGTTAAGAGTAAGTGTGAGAGGAGATGAATGCACTGTTTGGGTGTTTTAATAAGCTTTTTTTTCTTTCATGTTGCTTGGCAATTAAATCGATGGAGATGTACATATGTTCCTGCTCCGCCTGGGGTATCACTCAGTCCATCTGAACTCTGCCCTGCAGCTCTGTTTTTTTCAACATGAGAGTAGTTTTCAGGCAAAGAAATTAAACCTCTTTCCTCAGGGTTGATTTGATCTTGTAGGTTTGTTGCTCCTCTTTAAATAAATTTGAATAAGCCCACATCGTTTGCACATAAGCCCTACACAAACGCAAGCAGAAGTTACAGCTCTGTGACCCGCCAGGCTGCAGCACATCCCACTGCAAGCCAGGGATGCCACACCAGTCTGACTCCTGGAGATGCTGCTGCCAGACCAGGCAGGCGACAAAGCTGAAACACTTCTGAAAAAGGCAGTTTTAGTACCAGGCTCTCATTCTCCCATAGCACCTGCAAGGGGACCGAAGAGAAACTTGACTGGCCAGAGGCAGGACTCCCAACGCCTCCATCCCTGAGATGCGCTGAGCTGCGCCGCCCGCACAGCCCTGGGGACGCCGAGCCACGCAGGCAGCCACCCTGGCAGGGCAGGGCTGTGGCTCCGGGCTCCGTGGGCAGCTTCCCTGGAGCACAGTGCTCCATCTGTGTCCTCCTGGCTGCCAGGAAAACGCCGCTCGCTCGGCGGGCATGGGGAGCCGGCTGCGGAAATACCGGCGGCACCGCGGGCGTGGGGAGCAGGAGCTGCTCTGTCCACAGAGCTCCGAGGAGCCCTGAAAGCCACGCTGTGCAGGAGCCCGCACAATGAACAAGGGCAGGCCCACAGCTGCAACCCCCTCGCTGCGCTGCCTGCGCCCCGTGCTGCCTCCTGAGAGCACCAGGCACACAGGAGGGCTGTGTGAGGGACATCGTCAGAGAGCTGCCCAAAAATCAGTCCTGAAATGGCCAGGAATAAATGCTTTCTGTCGCTGAGGGCTGGGAACAGGAGGGCACTGCCTGGCACATAGAGGGCTTCATGCCTCTTGCAGTGTCATGAGCAGAAAGAGAGCACAAAGAATTTCCACATTAACCAGCCAAAGAGAGATTCCTGCACACCAAGACTCTGGTCCTCACACAAGGCAGAATTAAGGTACCATGCTAATTATTAAGGACAACACATGTAAAAAAAGCAAACAAAAAAAAAGTTTTCTTCTTTACACTTTACCATATTGTCAATTAATAAATAGGTGTTCAATTAAAGCATCCTCAAAACAGATTCAAACTCCAGAGAGCATTATTCAGGCTGAATTTAGGACTTAAATCCTGGGCTTCTAATTATTCAATTTGCAAAATGAGGAGCACTGTCAAATAACACAATGGTCCAGCTCACAACAGCTGGCACTGCTGTGCCTTTTCAAAACTGACAGCTGATCAACATCACCTGCAAAACCCAGCTCTGACATCCCCTCAGCTGGTGAACAAAGCTGGTAACGTCCAGCCTCACAAAACCTGGGACAAAGATTAACGCACCATGAAACCGTGATAAAACTGAGGTTTTAGTAGCAGCAAGGATTTTGAGGAGTAATAAGGATTCGTAATGGGAGAACAAATGTTGCACAAACAAAGAATGGGGAACAAGAAGGGGCTACAGAAGGATGATTCTACTGCTGTATAAATAGGGATCGCAACAGGAAAAATTATTGTGGCTTCATTTTAAAATGCAACACCTTTGGCTGTTGCAGCTACAACAGGTGTCACGACAAATTGTCTGTGGGCACCCTGACCAACGTGATATTCTTTATCCAGGCCTTTGATATAAACTGGAGATGGTTGAAACCAAGAAGCTGCTGAGGTTGCAGTTTGGAGAGCTTCCATTACACTGTGCAACCACATCTTCCTGGCAAGGAACAGGAAGATCGCTAATGGGACATCACCATTTCACCATCACTCCCCAAACCTCTTGTAATTAGCAAAATCACGCCTTTTCTCACTCCATCGGATACCTGGCAGATAAGCACACAAAAATCCGCCTACAACTGTCAAGGTGATAGCATCTGTTTTGACAGTCACGGCACAAAGGTCAGCCACAAACTCGCTTATAAAGGTCATTTTTCCACCCCAGGGTGGAGGCAAAGGAGAGGGATTATTCTGGAAGTTCAGCAATACCTCTCTCCCGTCACAGCAATAAACAGAACTGCCATACACAGCTCACGGCTCGCACCTCCCCTGCCTGAAATAATCCCTAAGCCACAGGTTTTTGCGTTTCCACGAACGCCCTGCTGCACAGGCGCGCTTTGTTCCGTGTGGGTTTGGGTGCATTCCTCCCCGGACACATTACCACTGTGTCCAAAATGCATCAAATCCATCGGAAAAGTTTATGGCAAACTTAGAAAGA